AAAGATTTTAAAAGAATTTTTATTGGATTTTATTTTTTTGAAAATTTTCTAATTCGTTCCAAATGGTGGAGGGTATTCAAAGTTCGGCCCGGCCGAACTTACTGCTTTTTTACTTGTTTGATTTTGCAGTCGGTCTGTATGAGGAGAGAGTTAGTTACAGAGAAGAAGTCGAGCATTTGGATTATATTCAGCTGAAAAATGGACTACGACTTTTGTGATTTTTTTTCGAATACATAACAACACTATAAATAACATATCTAATTACTTAAAATCTAAAGTGCAAAACCTGGGTGATAATGACTGTGGAGTTATTAAATTTAATTCGTCATTCTTGTAAAGGAATTTGTGTTTAGAGAGAAAACTAATACTAATAAACCTGTCAAGATTCCCTCAAATGTGCCAGTCTCAAAAAGCTTGTGAATTCTCTATCTTTTCTTTACCTAGATGTAAGGGACCTTAATTCTAAACTGAAAAATATTTATTTAAAATTATTTAGCTGTGATTTGCGGAAACTTGTCTTTAAACAGGCATACGTGACACTGAGATTTTGTCTGATCAGTACCAAATTTACTGGAAAGACAGATTGAATAAATTTGGTGGAGGAGTATTCATTGCCTCAGAGCGCATTTTGCTTACAGAATGTCCTAATATAGAATTTGTTTGTGTTAAGCTAAATTATTTAAATAATACATTTATTCAAACGTGCTCTTATATTGCTCCAAATTCAAATCTTTAACATTCAGACCTAATAAAAGAAATTTCATCGTGTCGTTCATTAAATTCGTATTTGATTTGGTTTTTTGATTTTATTTTGCCTAGTTTAACTTGGGTCCCAGGAGGAAATAATGTTGATTATGTACCAGAGGGCTGCAACGAGTATGCAAAAATTCTAGCATACTCGGTTTTTTACATGATTTTTGTTGATGCTGTCGTTTAGTTTGATCTGAATGAAATTACCGTTTTCGCTTCTGATCGAATCGAACGATCAGTTTGAATCACTTCACTCACAATCAAACATGAGCGTTCGAGACGGTTTGATGTGTTCAGCAACATGAGTTGATCGAACACATGAATGTAAATGAGCAATCACAACCGCGATTGTCTTCTTTGAATCGAGTTCGCTCAGCGTCATTGTTTATTCAACCATTTAATCAAGTTGGGACAGTTTATTTTGACTTTTTTAATATTTGAAATGGAAGAATATTGTGATAGTGCGACCGAAATTGTTGCAAGTAGAAACTACACAGGTGTAGGTAAACGAGAAGGTCGAAGTTTGTGAAAAATCTTGACCAATATTGTAAAATAAATAAAATAAAAAAATATTTAAACATTTTTAGTTTTCTAAATACCAATGAAGTTTTTCTTCATTAAAAAATTTAATTTTTTTTAAATAAGTTACTGAAGTCTAGCATACCAAAAACCCAAATAAAATGAAAAATTGTATGCTTATTAAATATAATTTGTACCAATTTCTTTAATGGGGACATCTTTTAGTTATGAAATCCTTAGTAAATTACAATCATGATTTCGCTCAAATTCGAACTTTTGTGTTTTAATCAAATCAAATCACTCACTTAACTAGGATAAATAAAACCGATCAGACTCATCATAGATGATCGACCCGTTATGAACAATTCAACATAAGTTCGTAATCAAATAACTCATGTGAGCTGTTTGATTGCGATCACAAAACTTCGATCAAAACATGTTTGATCACAATTTTTTCGTTTGGCTTGAGTAACTCGAATGAACATGTTGCATCTGACCGACTGATTGAGTTTGATTGTATTTCCACTGTGTGTGATCAAACCTACTCAATCATACTCATTGCAGCCCTCTGTTATGTACCAATTTCATCGTAAGAATTGTCCTCTGATATGTTATAGTTCTAGGAAAACATTTTTGATCAGTGTCTGTATCAAATTAATAACATCTATAATGAGAGAGGTAAGATCTTGGACATCGACTACAAATTCTTCCGTATGTAGAATTTCTCCGAGCCTGAAGATTTATATTACTCTACTCTGTCTATAAGCTTTGAACTTAAAATATTCCAAGTATGGATTTTGATTCTCGAGTTTCGTGTTTCTATACATTGAAAATCTCAGTTCCTGTCAAAATCTTGTGCTCAAATATGGGTCCACCTTAGTTTACCCCACATCTGAGACGCTTTCGAAATGAAAAGGTAGATTATATAAAAAAATTAAAAAATGCAATTCAACGATAAACTTTAGTAATTACACTATAGCCAGAAATATATACTACATTGAAAATTCTAAATGTTATTCTAATTATCTAATAAGAATGAGAGTTAACTTAAACTGAAATCCAAAATATTTTTACAAATTCGTGAATTCAAAGAGAAAAGTCCGGGGATATCCTAGAAACATGAGACTCGGGAGTAAAGAATCATGTGATCCTAATGAAGTAGCAAATATGTTTGCAGATTTTTTTCAAAATACCTATTCTAAATTTACATAAAATTGTACTATAAGGGTAATGTTAATAAGCTGAATCAGTTCTCTTGAATCACATTCAAGGAGACTGACGTATTAAAAGGTTTATTGTCATTGAAATATTCTAAATCACCAGGTCCTGATGGTGTACCAACATCTATTTTAATATCATGTGCGCATAAACTTTATAGACCATTAAGGAAAATTTGTAATGATTCCTTGGCATTGTGTTACTTTCCTCTATTTTGGCGATCTAATTATATTATTCCTATATATAAATCCAATAGTATATGTGTTATTGAAAATTATAGAGGCATTGCAAAACTAAGTGCTATTCCCAAACTTTTTGAGACCTTGGTCACACGGACAATAACTCATTTTGTTTCATCATTAATATCACCTCATCAACATGGTTTTGTTAGAGTTAGGTCTACTTTGACGAATTTATTAGAACTTACTTGTCAAGTGCACAATGCTTTTTAAAACAATTGTCAAACTGATGTTATATATACAGATTCCAGTAAAGCATTTGATGCCGTTGTACAAGTATTATTAATTTATAAACTTGATTCCATGGGTTTTCCTACAATACTCTTATCATGGATATTGACATATTTAGAGAAACGTACCCAAAAAGTATCATTTAAAGATATTCTCTCTAAAAATATAAATGTAAACTCTGGAGTTCCTCAAGGTAGTTATTTAGGTCCACTACTTTTTCTACTTAAATGACCTTCCATCTGTTATGCACCTCCCTTAAATGCTGATGTTTGCTGATGATGTTAAATTATATTCTAATCTCCAGTCTTATAATCAATCACTTAATCTTCAATGCGATTTAAATTCTTTTGTGAATTGGTGCAGTGAAAATGGGATGTCATTTAATCTAAAAAAGTGTAAAATCTATCATCATTCTATAGATCCCAGCCTGTTACCAGTGACTATTTTATTGCCTCATATAAATTGGATAATGTTGATTCCTTTGTAGATCTGGGAGTTATTCTGGATAGAAAACTTAGCTTCAATTTACATATAGATTCTTGTGTTAATAAAGCCAAGTTGTTGCTTGGATTTATGAAACGTTGGTCTAAAGAATTTGATGATCCTTATGTTACTAAATGTTTATTCATTAGCCTTGTTCGACCAACTTTGGAATATTGTTGTATACTTTTGAATCACTTCTATAATTTATATTCTGACAAATAGAATCTGTACAGATTAAATTTCTTCTGTTTGCTCTTAGAGGCTTAGGGTGGAATTCGAATGAAACTCTTCCACCTTATGAAAATCGCTTAAAACTTATAGATCTTCCGTCACTGCACAAAAGGCATTTGACGCTTAGATGCATTTTCATAATAAAACTCAATCTGAATTCCTATTAAGCAAAATAAACTTTAATTACATACCTCTTAAATTGACGACAGCAAAATCTAATTACGAACTATGTAATCCTCTGCGGTCTTTATGTGATGAATATAACAAATTATACAATATAATGTCTTTATCTAAAACCTTGCATGTTATAAAAAATCTATCTTGAGTTCTCAAAATGTAGAAACAGTTGCCAGAAATAGTTAATTGGATTTTAGTTTTGTTGTAGTCTGTGTTGTGTATATTAATATATTTTGTTGTTTAGCCGGCTGATAATTACTGTAGTCAGTTTCCCCTAGCCTACTAACCCCCTATATTTCGGACTATAGGGTGTACGCGCTACCTTGGTTATGGGGATGTGCCCCCCTCGGTCGGCAGGGCGGAAAAGTCTGACTATGGGAACGATCGAAAAAAATCCGGATTTATTCAACCAGATTTACCAAAAAATAGATATTCTCTCGACAGGATTTATGTTAAATCCGGTACGGAATTGATTTACCCCTATGGCAGGTTTTTTGATTCATACGTTCTGCGTGCATATACACAAGTATATATATACGTAAACAAACATCGGCTTAGCGGCATTTATATTCTACTAAGGGCGTGTCAAAACCACTGAATCTATTAAACGCAGTGGTTTTATCTTCAATATTAGAAACGCGCTATAAGAAAATTTGCAAATATTTACAAACAGAAATTGGTTACAAACTCTCTGTAAAAAATTGTCAAAGTGTCTCTCTCAAGTGGCTCTCTTTAGATTAAATTTAGTGTTAACAGACAACATCCAGTAACAGTATGCAACAATTGATAAAATTTTTTAGGCACCCAGACGGACCTTAATATTTCAGTAAAGGTGTTGTCAGCAAATTTTTAATCAGCTGTATTTTGTTCTAATGGAATTCCGTCACAAAACGAGGATTTGGTAAAGATTTTTTTTTGTAAATTACGTCAAACTGAATGAAACCTTCTTTGGCACAACATAAAGTGGTGTTTCAGTATATATTCATATATTACTCAAATAACTACGATTTTTAATCCTTAGTTTTGTTTAGTGTTTCGATTTGATCTTTACAATAGTAATTTATTATTCCCTTTAATTTTGATTTTATTTTCTGAAAAAAAATATGTTTTAATTTAGCACTTTGTTTGATTAGTTTGGAGTTTCTTATTTTTAATAACTTTAATGTTGATTCTGAAGTCCTTAATTTTTATAAGCATATTTTTGTTCACTTTCTCCGTCTGTCTAAATACATAAATTAATTTTTTTGTTTCATTTGCTTCATCGTTTTCAAGACACAACAGTTACTGGTCCAGTTCCGGAAAGTTTGCTACAAACTGAGGGAAGGAGGAGGAGGAATTCATTTAAATAACAATTAGATATTTAATTATTAAATATTTAAAAAATATATCAAAAATGAACACCAACGTTAAGTTTTATACGATTCCTGTTGATAGATAGGGGATAATGCCGGTGCTGGAATAATATTAGCTGCTACCACTGGAACTGATGATGGTTTCGCTATGGTTGCCGTTGTTGGTAATGCGGGTGTATTGGCATCTGGATTACATTCTTTGTGCACTGAAATGATGGGTTAAGTTGATTAGATTAAGATTATAATAAAGAATAATGTGAAAACAAGAAAAAAAGGTTGAATTCGGCTGGGCCACAGTTTTAATACCCTCCATCACGAAAAATAAAAGGTTTTAATTTAACAGTATTTCGATTTTAACGAACTAGGTAAATAAAAAATAAGAGTCAGTTTTGCCGAGAGGCAATATTTTGACTTCTGTTATGATTATTCAAATTGTTGACCATCTATGGAGTAGTTTCCGAATATGTATATATATACAGGATGAGATGAAAAAACTTCAACCAACTCCAGACTGCTGCCACTCGTCCGACCGCTGTTAAAATTATTCAATTGACAGCTCATTATATTGTTTAAAAGCGTACAAAAGTATTTCGGTGAGAATTTTCAAGAAAAAAAGTTATTCGTGATGGAATTCAAAAGTGATAGTGTGATTTCTTTATATTTGCCTGGATAACCACAAGTGGCTATCGTTAGAGCACTCCATCATTTAAATTTGAATAAATCTTTTGTGTGTCATGCCATCGCTCATAACCGTGATACTGGTAGCGTAGCCCGACGTTAAGGAAGTGGACGGAAGAAAACAACAACATCAGCAAAAATGGTTCGAAAAGTAAAGAAGCGACTTGATTGAAACCCTTGACTGATTAAATGAAAGTTGTGTTAGTTACTACGCTTATAACTAAATAACCGCCGATCTGATTTTAACGATTCATACAAATTAGGAATTGTCTTTTAAAATGTGAAATTTGAACATTTTGACTTTTGAAATGTACAATCGTAATGTTTTATTTTGCATGATTTTTTTCCATTTTGACTTCCTTTCTCCAATGTACATTTAAAGTGTTTTTTTTTTTTTTTTTGTTATTTTTTATATTTTAATTCTAATATTAATATCAATTTATTTAATTAACTCGATTTCTGGAGAACTGAAATTGCAGGCGGCTTACATTGAAATATAATACCGAATTTTGTGGTGGCGAAACGGAGTAGATGATATCAACATAATTTAACGCGATCACACCAAAGTTAAAGGATAATTACTTTTTCAAAATCGCTAAAAAAAATTCACGAAAAAAGAGATCTCATTGCAGAAATTCTCAAATCGGGGAAAATCATTTCAATTGAATCTTTTCAATTTGTTTTTCATTTTTTTTTTTTTTTTTGTCAATCTATATATATAAAAATCAATTGTTGTTCGTTGGTAATGGAATCCGTTGAGAACGGCTGGACCGTTCGTCATACCCCGAGTTGGGTTTTTAAAAAAAATATTGACCACGCCTACTTTTACGCCCACTATTTCGATATATCTTAAATCCTCATATTTGCCAAATAATCAAGATATCGGTTTTAAAATTATTACACGACATACTGTTGACTTTCCCTCCAATCCTGAGTATTTATTTGGGCGCTGAGGAACTGACTACGCCAACTTTTTAATCTATATATCTATACTAGCTGGCCCTGCCCGCGTTGCCGGCCCGTAGTTTTAGTCTTTAATGCATAGTTTTTAATGTATAATAATTCATAGAATAATAATAATTCATAGAATAAATGAAATAAATACGCATCGCAAAATGTCAATGCAGATTCACGTAACGGGCGATTTATAGTGTTTTAAGTGTAAAATCAATTGAAAAATGTTACCAAGATCCTGCAAATAACTGAAATCAGCGGATACTTTCATATAAGGGTTATACCAAAGCATGGTCTCATACTTATAATTATTTGAAAGAATGTGTTGTTCTTTCTAAATTCTCAAATTACCAACATTCGAGGAATTTGAAAGAGGCTCTATCATTTGAGGGGGGCTATATCACAATGTAGACCGACCTGACATATATTTTGTACAAATGATTCTTCATGTAACCCCTTTTGGGATTTTTATCTACCAACAGAACAATTTCTCAGTGTAATTGCTGACGATAGCGCATAGTCCCCGTATAACGCTACATGTGAGTCAATGTTACTTTAAAGGGTTCGAAAGAATTTTCTGAGGATATAAATCCTTTTCTCACAAAATTTTCAATTCGCTCCACTATTTTGTATAGTCCGCATATTACAGTGCCTCTTCATATTCGGTATTTCACTGATTACAGTCCCAATGAATTTTTCATTTTCCGTTCTCATTGGATGGATTATTTCCATATCTATGCAGTACGTTGAGATTTTAAATGGTTTGATGCTTTGATCAAAATTGAAAATTTTGGTATAACGGCATATAACGGTTGTTCGCTGGTAATGGAATCAGTTAAGAACGGCTGGACCGATTTGCATAATTTTTTGTACAAACGTTCGTCATACCCCTAGTCAGGTTTTTAAAGAAAAAAGTATTGACCACGCCTACTTTTACGCCGATTATTTCGATTTATATAAAATCCTTATATTTGCCAAATAATGAAGACATGGGTTTGAAAATTATTACACGAGATACTGTTGACTTCCCATCCAACCCTAAGTATTTATTTTGCGGGTGAGGAACTAATGACGCCAACTTTTTAATCTAAATAAATAAAAGAAAGTTGTGTTAGTTACTACGCTTATAACTTAAGAACTGCTAGACTGATTTTAACGATTAATACAAATTCAGAATTGTCTCTTGACAGTGTGACGACGAAAGTAATTTCATTTGTTTTCGTCCCCACTTTGTTGTTGAATTGTCAAATTTATTTGTGTAAATAATGAATTATTTATATAAATAGGAATTTTCCAAAAAAATCACCGTCCTTTTATTTCCAAAACTTAACCAACCCCCCTCATAGTTATTTACATCAACTTCTTGTTTGGCATTGATTTTAACTAGACAGTTAGGTTCAATGACCATCATAGTCAAGGCCACGAAGTAGCAGCGAGCAATATTGTTAGATCAAAACACAACTGCAATGCCAATGCATTAAACCAATGCATAGGCAGCCAACAACAAGCAAGCATCACAACGATCGATTCAACCAAAGCATTGCGCCAATGCATAAACACACAACAACAAGCAAGCATGGCACAATGCATAAACGCACAACAACAAACAAGACACACTGGGCATTGATGTTAATGCATGGTAGTGGAGACCGGACAACGCAGGCATAGCATAACAACAAAGACCATGCGTAACAGTGAACATCGTTCGATGATGGTAAAGCGAAAGCATCGAAGACAAAATTTATAACTGTTTTGTGTAACAACAAAAAGGCTTTGGCATAGGAAGTCTGAGATCACGTGACATGCTGCGAGGCTATAAAAATCCTATTAGAAGTTCTTTTCAGTTTGTGAAGTGAACAACAGCGAAGAAGACAGATGAGTCAGAGTGGTGAAAATATAGGAAAACTGTAAGAGGTGTTCATAAGCCTTTCTGTAACTCGCTTTATTTACACCAACTTCTTCTTGGTTACAACAGAAAAGGATAAAATACAAAACAATCGCGTAAAAATTAAATATTTTAACATTTTCATTTTGACCATGGTACAATAAAAAGGTAAGGTGGAGCTACCAGCTGATTACAATTTTTTTCTGAGTGTGCCCGACTTCTGCCACTTCTGTGTATGTATTCATTTTTTGAAAAATAAAAACAAAATATTTTCAAACCAATGATTGGAAGAAACGTAGATTGTGGAGCGCGCTATGAAGATCTTAAGCAACTTTGCCATGGAATTGATTGATTGGGCACTCTGGATCATATTTTTGAAAGAAAATCCAGGCACTTCATTCGTTTTATTTTAATCATTAAAAAAGAACAAAATCAAATAATTAAAAACAACTTTTTGCATATAATATTGAATATTTCTAACAGAAAGCGGGCATAGCCTCAGAGCTGTATTTCTGTAGTTTTACGAAGCTGTTTCTACCTCTATCATGGTAGAAATATCAGGTAGCAACATAGGCGAAAATTACAACAAAGCAACTTTTTTGGAAACTTGATATGTCAAAATTGAAAGCAAAGCGAATATACCTGACATATAAAATTTGAAGCAAATTGGTTTGCACCAATCAGAAATATTCTGAAATATTGAAGAATATTGTTTATTTTTAAAATTTTATTGAAATTTCAAGCAAGGAAATGTTGTGTTGTTGTGAATTGTACTGTTTTGTACGTTCAAGAGAACTCGATAAAAACAAACAATAGCATATAAAAATGCGTTAAATGCCCGTGGAATGGAAATCTCAATGGAAACAAATTCAATAAGAATTCAGAGAACTCAATATATAAGGAACCATCAACAATATCAACAACGGTGAATTTCCGGTCTCTACCATCTTTATTACAGATCTTGTGTAGATGAAAATATTCAGATGTACCAAGTCTCAATAGATACTGATGTTTATTTCTCGTCTTATGAGCTTCATGGATTTTCAAAATTTTGAGCCTTTGTGGGGGAGGTACCAGAAGGAGTGGACCGATATATCCCATCTTCACAGCTTATCTTGAGTTAGTAGAAAAAATGGGATGTGTAAAATATAAAAAGAATGTGATACCTGTTTGGGATTTAATAAACGTTTTGGTTATTCAAAAAAATATTGGTATGTGTGAAATGTTGTCCCTTTGTGGGGGAGGTACTTGATGGAGTGGAACGATGTTGCCTATTTCGCACCTAATTTAGCACTGATGCAAGTATTTGGATTTGCAAAGCTGGAGAAAAATCGGATTATCGTTTCTCTTTCTTTGCAAAACAATATATATGTTTTTTTTTTTTTTTTGAAAATGATGACCTTTTGTGGGGGAGGATATGTAAAGTTTGAACGAAATCGGATGCTCAATAAGGTACAAATTATTTTCTTTGAACACGTTGGCGTTTTGTGAAGTAAAACCGATTCCCATCTTGATCTTATTTTGATAGATGTATTACGATGCGCCAAATTTGGACAAAATCGAATACTCCTTCCTTATCGTGCGTACAGACAGACTGTAAGGAGGACATCGCTAGACGGACTCCAAATGTCTGAAATGGATTACGTCCAAAGAGACCTAGGATTCAAAACCATTATTTCGATGCCATTT